CTTTCTTAAAGGCATAGAGTGAAATACATTGATGGGAGATGATTTTGTTATTATTGCTCCATCCTCTTCTCTTTGAATTGAGAAGCTGTTCATAATAATAATACCTAACATGTATTGAGTGTTTACTGGATTTCCAATGATATACTAAGTTTTCAAAGAGGATTGCATAATTCAATACTCATAATTCCTGTGAGGCCGGCATTGATAAAGCTGGAAAGTATAGGCTGTCAGCTCCAAAGCCTGGTGTTCTTTTTCTTTTTCCTGTCCTTCCTTCTACGTAGCCCACATTGTTCTCCATAATATCTATTACTCCTTATAGTTTCTTCACTGTTATCCCTCCTTGTCCAATTCCAGACCCTTCTAATTTCTATCAGTTTTTCCCAATCTCTTGCAAACTCCTTAGTCCCACTGTTACTCAGTGGTTGCCCTTTCCTCTAATACTAGTCAGTCTCCCTAGTCTCTTCTCATGTCCTCCTGACTTGTTAGTCTCACTAGTCTGCCTATCTGCTCCTGTTCCTGTATACTTTTTCCAATTCCTCTGTACCTTCAAATCTCTCTATAGTTTTTTGAGCCCCCTGCTGTTCAGTATCTCCTATTCTCAGTAGCCCACCTAATGTCTTCTGAAACCTCTCAGTCATTTCCAGATCCCCAGGTCTTCCTTTCAAGTCCCTCTTAGGCCCCCATTTACTTTTCTACTTAACCTCCCAGTCCCTTCCATTCCCTTTCTTTGTGTTCTGTTCCAGCCCTTTTATTCCTTTTTTGTTATATTGTTTTTTTTCACAATAAAAATACTTTATCTTTTAAAAATTTGAACAAATAAAACATAGACGTTATAAAAATTTATTGCAGAAAATCATGAGAAAAAAATTAAAATCAGCTGAAATTTCACTGCCGTGAGATAACCACTATTATAATGTTTTTAAATACCTTTTCTATGTTTATGCCCATACATGCACACACACACAGTTTTATATAAACGCAATTACAGTAGTAAATGGTGATTCCATTTTTCCAGTTGCTCAGCCACATCTTGGTGTCATCCTCAGATCCTTTTTTACTCACATGCCTTATATCCAATTCATCACAAATCTGTTGGTTCTGCCTTCAAAGTATTCGAGAATATGACCCACTTTTCACTACCGTCACTGATACCATTCTAGTCTAAGCAACCATAACCTCTCTTCACGATTATTGCCATAGTCTCCCTCTGTATTCACTATTGCCCTTAGAGTTTCCAAACCACACAGTAGTCAGAGTGATCCTGGTAAAATCTACGACAGACAATTCTTTTACTTACACCTTCTAATGATTTCCTATCTCAAAATAAAAGTGAATGTCCTTATGGGGGCCTTCATGGGCTACGTGACCTGGCCCCCTTAGTACCTCTCTGATTTCATTTCATTTCTTACTACTTTACCCCCTCTCTCAGCTAACTCCAGTCACATTGGCTTCCTTCCTGTTCCTTAATTACAGCATGTTCTTGCCTGTGGGTCTTTGCACCTATTTATCTGCATAAAGCTCTTCCTTTAACCTCATGCTGTATCCCTCACTAACTTTGGGTCTCTGTACAAATGACACATTATTAAAGATATTGTGCTGATAACTCTATCTAAAATAGTACCACCAACCCACCCAGCCCAACATTCTCTATCCCCTTACCCTGCTTTATTTTTTGTCATAGCACTTATTCACCACCTGACATATATTTCTTTGTCTATTTGTTTATTTTCTTCCTGGAACATATTAGGCACTCAATGAATATTTGAATGGTATTAAATAAATGGGCATCAAAAATGCCTGTGCTCTTAAATGCCAAGTCACCAGACCTCCCAGCCTTCCATGATATGGGTTAAGGAATAGACTTTTCTGGGAAAGCAAGAGAAGGCCCTGTCTCAGATCCTCCCACCTAGCAGAGTATGCCAGGGCCAGGTGCTGTGGTTGTGGCTGCTTTTCCTTCTCATAGGGCAAACATGAAAGAAATCAGGTCAGTAGGAGTTGAAAGTGGGGCAAATGGGCCACTTGGGCATGAGGAAATCCAGGTTTAGATGTGAGCTATTTAGAGGGGTTGTCTGGAAAGGCTGTCTGCTCTGCACCTGGTGACTTTGGAGCCCCGTAGGAAACTACTTTCCCCATCACAGGGAGGAGAAAGCTACTATTTCCTTGGATGCACAGTTTGAGTGTGGCCCCTTCCTGCTGAGAGAAAGGGGAGCCCTCTGACTTTGGAGCCCCGTAGGAAACTACTTTCCCCATCACAGGGAGGAGAAAGCTACTATTTCTTTGGATGCACAGTTTGAGTGTGGCCCCTTCCTGCTGAGAGAAAGGGGAGCCCTCGTCCCAAATATTTCATCTGGGCAGCACAGAGTGAGGTCCAAGTTTACTTTCAAATGATTCTCTTGTTAACAAAGCATGTTCCTGTGAGATGTGGAAGGTGCGGTATCTCTTTTTTACCACACATTACTCTTATATCCATCTAGACTTGTATCTTCTGACCTCACACTCCCTGTTACACAACAGCCAACAGCACAGACACTGCTCTGCTGTGAGCTGCATAGTGAAGACCAAGACTTAGCAGCTGGACTTAGACTAAGTGAGGAATTGTTGAGAAGATAGGGCTTATATTGGTTGAGATAACAGCTTGTCTCAGGCTAAAAATATATGCAGATTGGGTAGGGCTTATAAAAGAGACCTATAGGGTTATAAATCAGAGTCTGGGGTCCAACACAAAAGCCTGACATACTCTGCCATCAGGACAGACTCTAGCTCTGAAGGTAGGTAGAGAGCCCTGGCCCACACAAGGGGTTCTGTAAAGGAAGCTTGATAATGGGAGCTCTAGCTAGAGCAAAGAATCTATTTAGCCTATTATTGGAATCCTCAAAGAGATCCCTTATGTGGCCCCAAATCTTGCTTCTAGATGTCAGTGTCATACCTTGTTTGAATTCTGAAAAAAGATACCACAAGGAATTCTGGATATAAACTATACTCTTTTAAAAATTTTTTTTTTTTTTTTTTTTTTGTCTTTTTCCGTGTCCGGCAATGGATCGCAACCCTC